ATAATGAGAAGAATTTGGAAACGTGGGGGCGGGGAGGAAATCAATAATCCTTCAAAGGCCAGATTTTTTTTTAAAATTTATTTGAAGTAAAATAGCTATAAATGTAGCATTCATTAAGACCCCAAATAGGGGAAATGCCAGGTAGTGTTAATTGAACAACTTTTTTGTGAGCTAGAGGGAACAAAAGAAATCTGAAAGTAAGATGTTAAGAGGTGTGCTAAGATAGCAAAAATTTCAAGAAGAGAGCATAAAAAAAGCTTACAAATTAAACAGGCCAGAAAAATTAATAAATATTAGCTTAGAAGTATAAGCAACTGAAAAGAAACCATTAAGAATTTTAAGACAAAACTGAAAAATAAGGGAGTAGAAAAAAGTAAATTAAAGGAAGAAACAAGGCATGAATCAACTTAAGGCAGTGGTCTTGGACATATGTGACTATGAAGTAATGAGTAGGTTGGTTCCAAAGACAAAATACACAAAAGTAAATCCCATAATTTATAAGCCACATACTAATATATTCATGAAAAAGGAAGATTAAAATATGACACCACAATAAATTTAAGATCATTTCCTAAAGAAATTTTAATAAATCCCATCTTGCATTCAGAATTGTGTGTGCATTTGTTTATTTTTCATGAGAAACAAAAAGGAGTTAAATGTTCTATATTTTAAATACATGAAAGACCTGCACTCTTTCCTTTATTAAAAAAAAATCTACACACTCAGCTCAATGGTAGGTATGTTTGATGAATTTATCTTATTCATTTACGAGGCTACTTTTGACAAAGTCATAGAGGGCATAAAATGGATTCAGGGAGGAGTTGAGGGTTTTTGTTCTATAATAGGAAATCAGAAATAAAATTGTGAGGGAGGAAGAAATACTACTGGAAAGGGAAAAAAGAAAAAGTAATCTAAGGAAAAATCAGGGAAGCAGAAGGAGTGGGGGAAGAGAAGAACCAGATGCTATTTTAAACCACCATGCTAAATTTCTGAATATATAGCCCTTAGAGGAAACAGATATTGGTTTCTTATCAACTCTTACATACCTCAATTTCATCATATATAAAATGAGGGGAGTTGGACTAGGTGGTTCTGAGATCCTATCCAGCTCTCGCCAAGAAAAGCAGGGTCCAAATTCTATCTCTAGTACTGACTAGCTGTATGACTCTGGATAAGTCACTGAATTTTCCTGAGGCCCAGTTTCCTCAACTGCGAAATGAAGGGATCATATAAAAAGGACTCAAAGTCCTTTCTCGCTCTACAACTATGATTCTATGACTATGATTAATGAAAAGAAACAAAAAATCAAATATATTTAGGCTTGCAGGGCCACACATTGAAAACTTAAGAGATTATCTACTCCAACACTCTTATTTTAGAAATAAAGAAACTGAGGCCCAGAGCGTTGAAGTGATTTGCTCAAGGTCATAAAGAAGGTAAGTGGCAGAGCCGACATTCAAACCCAGACTCTTCGACTAGAAATTTAGTTCTCTTTCCGTGGCCCCTTCTCATTCCATAAGATTGTGTAAATGATGTTAACCTCAATGATATTTTTTCAGATACGAAAGTACCTTGAAGTGTTCAGAAAACTTACTGAGTACCTTACCTGTCAGATTTAACTTCCAACACTCTACTACGGTTGCTGCCTTATACAAAATAAGATCCAGAGCAATGAGTTCTAGAACTAGCTTTGCCACAGTAAAGCTATGTAACTTTGAACAAGGTATTCAACACTCTGGGCCTCAGTATCCTTGTTTCTAAATTGAGGAAGTTGAAGCAAATAATCTGTAAGAACACTTCCAGCATTAAAATTCTATTATTTCATAATTCTTTATCTCTTTTATAGCTGAAAATGAATAACAAAAAAGTCTGTATTTCAGATATTAGGAAAATATAATGAAATGGCTATGGGCAAACTGCATTCAATACAATAAACAGAAGTATGTTTATACTAACAAAATTAAAAATTAAATCACAGATTCGTCTGTGTGTGTCTGTGTGTGTGTCTCAAATGCAAGAAAATACCATGAAATATTTCTGGATGACGTCTACTTTATATATATATATAGAATGTAAAACATTCTATATGTATATATACACATATACACACACATACATTTACATACACATATACTTACATATGTACCATATACACAGATACATGAATACTTCAAGGCACAGCTTGATAAATATGCTATTATTCTAATATCTAAATGGAGTATTAAATAAGTGACTATCACCCCTATTTTTCTAAATTGCATTTTATACCAAATTCCCAAAACATTTACACTGGATGTTTTGCAATTTTTAAGTCTTGAATGGATTTTAATCTATTTTTCTCCTAATTATTTTTTCTATGTAAGAATGGGAATAGAAATTTCTTACTTCAGGAAACCTCAGATCCCCAGAGTCCTTCACCTCTAAAGGCGACTACTGCTGGGGCCAAAAGCACTGCACTGATGTGTGAATCAATGCCAGATGCCAATTTTATAATACTTCACATGGCAACAGGACTGAAGATACCCCAATGCAGGATATTTTGAATTGTGAAACTACTCACTGTTACAGTGAGCCATTTATTATGGATAAATGAAATGAAACATTACAAATACTAACTTTAATTGGGGTGATTTGACTAGGGCAAGAACACTCTATTCTTTTTTTTTAAAATTATTCCTCTTAGTGCATCTGTATTTTTCACACCATCAATGTTCACAACTCACCATTTTTCCTAAGTTTTTGTTGTTGTTTTGTTTTTTTTTTAAAGTTACTGGCTCCTTTACTGTCAAACCAACTTTAAAATGTACTTTGGTTGTCATAATTCTCAGATTTCTTGAGCATTCCCAGAAAAGGTTTCTAACATGTACAAAAAATATAGGTAATGTTCAACACACAATAAATTTTGTTATCTGGACATCTTTGAAAACAAAAATTTACCAAGACTTACCCTTCAAATGTCTTTCTTTAAAAAAATAGTACACTGTTAGTCTTTATACTGGTTTTAAAAGAAAATATATAATTATTTCAATGTTTACTTAAATATAGTTGATCTTTATAAAAAAAAAGTGTTACCCTGATTCAGAGCCCTATTTACATTAAGAACTTAAATGCACAAATGCAAAACAATCTTTTACATCACATGGTACACGTACTTTGTGTATCTTACCAGAGTTAACAACAGAAAGCTCTATCACAGGACAGGGACAATAGTTAATTAACTATTCATGACAGTGGCACTCAAATTTTTACTGTTAAAAGTTTTCATGTATATTCTCAATAAAACATACAAAAAAATTACACACTCTCTACCAGGATTCAATGTGTAATCTGCAAAAAGGGCAAGAATATATTTTGGCAGAAAAGGCATTTCTTGTATCATACAAAATTTTGCTAGCAGTAAATTTCCACATAATATTAATTTTGAGTTAAATTATAACTGTATTCTAAAACACTCTTATAATGTATGTAAAGTGCTTTTTAACCAAGCGCTATATAAATGAAAGCTATTATTATTACTAAAATACTAACACAGAATTCTAATCTAAAGAAATAATCAATACTGTATCATAACCCCTTATTTCAACAGTGTTAGACTTAACCACAAGATTCTTTTCCAAACTGAGGCTTAGAATGTATTTCTATCCTTTTTTTTAAGAGTTATTTATCTGCAAATTTTAAAACGTTTGGTCATTTCTGAATTACAAGGAATTCTTCATAGTGGCTATAACGATAATAATACCTTGCACTTATGTAGCGCATTTGTTTTCAAAATGCTTTCACATATATTATTTCTTTTTTTTCTTTTAACAAAAGCATGCAGAATTACTATTAAGAGTACTTAATGGAATAATGCATATGCATCAGAGACCCCAACCCCATCCCACACCAGGAGTATTTTACATACCAATAATTTTACTTCCATCTGTAAAAGGATATGCTTTTCTTCTGAGACCAAAGTTTTAAAGGCCATTATGGGCTAGTGGTTCATGGCATTTTGGGCAAAGAAATTAAAACATGTTTTGTACATTTACATGTGAGTGTTAGTGTTTTTAAGATATTACCTTTTCTTTAGGTCTTATTTCTTATTCTGTGTAAGAATTTGCAAAATATAGTATTATCCCATTGTTACTAAGATCATGCTCTTTGAAACATAGCTGCATATGTTAAAAGTATACTGTAAGTTACCCTACAAAATGAATTAGTCCTATTCCCTAATATTAGTGTTATTTTAAAACGGACCTACTTCAGGATTTTCATATGTCAGGAAAAACAAATTCTTCAGGCCAAGGTGTCTACTGAATAAAGATATAATAACACTTTAAGTCAATGTGGTTATCACAAACCACAAACATTACATTTCTTCTTGCTTTTCTGTGGAGTCACTGGACTAGGCTAACAATTTTAAGAAATACCAATAATGAAAGAATGTAGGTGAGTATTTATAAAATAGTAGCATTTAAATGTCAATATGCTAACTACTATTAGATTTTTTGAAATAGGTTTTTTTAATCTGAATTAATAATTAAATCATTTAAGTAACACCGTCTTATATAAACTTATCAATTAAATTTGATTAGAGCTTATAAACGAAATGTGCTTGTCATATATTGTTGAAATATGAGAGGCAATGTGTTATAGGTGATAAAAGAGCTGATCTCAGCACAAGGAAAACCGGGGATTAAGTCCCATTTCTGACACAAACTGATTATGTAAGCTTGGGTAAATGATTTAACCTTTCAGTGCTCTAGGCAGCTTTCTCTACGAGTTTTACAGAGGAGGTGCCTACCTGCACTGCTAGAAGGAGTTTTCTCATCTTGGAGTTCTCAGCATCAATGACGTCTATCCCTATCTCTAGTTTTCGACAATATAAGGTCAAAAGGTAGCCTGAATCTTCATATTTTAATTATATGCCCTCTGTGGGTTTAAGATTTTTGAAAATCAAATGCAATTTTTAATGTGCAAGGAAAAAAAAAAGAAAAAAAAAAGAAGAGCATAAAAAAACTGGGAGAAAAAAAGGGGTTTTCCTCCCACCCACAAACCTGAATTGTTTCTAAATTGTAAACTGTAAAGTCACAAGGATTTGGGCTTTTTTTTGTTGTTGTTTTGTTTTGTTTTTATTTGGTCCAAATGAATGAAATTAGGGCCTAAGAGCTATGGCTAAAATAACTGCTTGACAATTTTTTGTTAACTGGGGGATTCTGGAACTTCTTTCCATACAGGTCTTTAAAAACAAAGTTAATTTTCATTTGTCTAATACTTTAGTTGAGATTCTAACAACAAGGCAGGGTATACTCTATTTGACATCTCATGGTCCCTTCCAGTCTTATGATTGAACTGTACTTCATTTTCATTTGCTAGTCTCATACTATATTGACACTGCTCCCAAAGCAGTCCTAAAACACATATAACGTATGTGCAAACAACCACCAATTTGTCATTAAAAATATGACAGCATTTGTTTTACTATATTTCCTGGGCATCATTTTGACAATTTATTACAATCTGAGGATATGGGAGGTACAATCACAAAGACTGAGAGGGAGAGCATCAAACTGGGGGTCAATTTTAATATTTTATATTAAATTATAAAATTATACAAGATCACAGTTTTTCTGCAGAAAAGGGTGGACAACAAGTGCATTTAAGTCTAAAAATAAGGCCCTAAGTGCTAAATTCAAACAAATACAAAACTTCTGAAAAAACATTTATAGCAAAACAGTGCAATGTGTACTGTGCCCATATCCCAGCCATGTGAACTGAGTTATTAGCTTATTAATTTAAAATATAATTTAGCTGAGGGTTTTGACTCCTCAACTAGACAGCACAAAAATCTTTAGTTCATTTTCTCGTTCAACTTGCCACTAGTTGTTGGCAAGGAAAGAGTTTCTGTGTTAAATAACGGTGTCCCAGTAGGACAAGATAAAGCAGGTAGTGTAGCAGTTCTAGAAGGCTGTTTTTCTGTGTTAAGTAGTCTTTGATCATCACTCACCTCCCACCTTGTAACTTTGGAAGAAGTCCATTCTGACTGTTCCAGAATAGACTCTGCTGAGGCTCTCTCTGGTGTTTCAGTAGCACCTGATGTGACTGTGGAGTTCAAAAACATCTTCCTGGGTCTTTTCCTCTTCTTTAGCATTTTAAAATCAAGTTTTTGCGTCCTCAAGTACTTTCCCACAACAGTTTTTCTAGCTAGATGTCCACAACCCAAAACAGCAGAATATTTAGAGAGCAATGGTGATATATACTTTCTTATTATCTCATTCCTTCTGCTCCTAACCCAGGGTATTTGTTTTTCCGAAGTGTCCTTAATTCTTACTCTAGCAATTCCATGATGGAGAACCATAGGTCCAGAAGCCTTTCTGGAAAAACCTGTGTTCTTACTATTTGCCTCCTTCCTTTCCCAGATTTTCTTTGGATTTTTCTTCACTAGTAACTCACTTCTGATTGACTTTACAGGTGTTTTTGCAACCGTCTGCTTAAATGAGGCTGATCTGGAATAATTTTCTATTTGAACATGCATGGTGTCTAAAAGTGAGACTGCAGACTGTTGATAAGATTCATCTGCAGGGCTATCAATCAAAACTTCATAATCCTCTGAAGAAAAGGAAGGTCCATCCTGCTTTTGACTTGATGTTAAATCATCTTCTTCAGCGGAAGAAAGGGAAGATCCATCCAACTTCTGACTTGATGTTAAATCATCTCCTTTATCTGGGTCTGAAGTAGAGCTATCAAGGTCTAACAAATTAGAAGACTGACTAGCTGGTAAGCATTCTTTCTGAGAAGCAACACCTTTGTTCAACTTGACATTTAGGTTGAGACTTTTAAACAGCTGTCTCACATGGGCAGGTTTTTTAACTTTGTCTCCTAATAAGTCAGTAGGAGTTGTTTTCAGGACTCGATTAGTCATTGGATCATAATATTTAAAAGAACATCGTTTGTATTTATATTTTATAGAATCATTATCTATGGAATTGTGGTTTCTTCTCATTTTAAGTTCATCAAGAATTGCTTTATTCTGATTAGTCTCTGGGCAAGAAAGAACATAAACTACTGTTTCAGGTTGCACAGGGCTCAAAATTTTGGTATATGATTCTGGGAGTTTAAGTGTACAAAATCTGGTACTTGTGTTTGGTGTCCTATCATTCTCCAACCAAATACCTGTCTCATTGTCCAATAGCTCTTGCTCACTAAAAACGTGTCTTCCAAATACTGAATAGTCTATCACACTTGTCTGAGTCCCATGGCTGACTTTAACAACCTGGCATCGAGAAGCCATGCGCCATGTTTGCTTCTTAGGCCTCTTAGCTGGTGGAGCATTGCATAGCGTATCTGAAGCCTCAGAAAAGTTGTCAAAACTACAAACGCTTGCAGTATCATTGAATTCTGGCAGTGCATTAGCTGACGTCCCACCTTTCTGCTTATTTTTGCTTGTTTTCTTAGTCTCAGGCTCATCATCAAAGTAACAACGGAAATTCCGGCCTTCCCGGAATTCACGCACCATAGCTTCAATCTTTAAGTCATCTTCATACATTATTTGAGTCCATGTTTTTCCCACAAAGGAAGGAGGCACATGAGGAAGTGCAGGAAGCACTGGCTCGTCATGGTGTTCCACTGTGTTCACGTTTGCTGGTTGTGCGTCCCCTAAGGAACTAACTTTGAGAACAGAGCTCAAACGAGATTGATAGTTCTCATCTTCCAGGTCAACATGCACCTCTGTCAGAAAGTCTATTTCTTTCACAGCTAATGTATGCTGGTCAGCTACTGATTCAAATGGGGTATCACAATCAAAACTCATTTCAGAATCTGTTGTACTTTCATGATCCAAAATGGCAGATATATTAAAAAAGGGACTCTCCTCCTCTTGGCTGGGCTGTATATTGGGCAGAATGACGTCTTCAACGACTTCGTTAACAGGAACTGTACCAATACTGCTCAACTTTGTTTCTGAGTTTTCTCCTAATGTGGGGGTGGACTCAAAGTTTAGTGAGCCACCAGTACCCATACACATAATGCTCAATTTTGTTCCTAAGTTTTCTCCTACTTTGGGAGTTGCATCAAAATTTAGTGAGCCAACAGTACCCATACCCACACTGCTCACCACTGTTTCCGAGTTTTCCCTTAGTTTAGGAACTGACTCACAGTTTAATGAGTCATTAGTCCCCATACCCATACTGCTTACCATTGCTTCTGCATTTTCTCCTAGTTTGGGAATTGACTCAGAGGTTAGTGAGCCAACAGTCCCCACACCCACAGTGCTCAACTTTGTTTTTGACTTTTCTCCTAGTTTGGGAGTTGATTCAATTACTAGGTTATCAGTACCCAAATCCATACAGATCAATGCTATTTCTGAATTTTCTCCTAATTTTGTAGTTGACTTAAACTTTGGTGAGCCATCAGTCCCCATATCCATTTCTAAATTTTCTCCTAAGTCGGCAATTGACTCAAAGTTAAATGAGCCATCATTCATTATATCCATAATGGACAACAATGTTTCTGAGTTTTCTCCTAATTCAGCAGTTGATTCAAAGTTTAGTAAATCATCATTCGCCATATCCATAATGCTGAACGCTGTTTCTGAATTTTCTCCTAAAATGTCAGTTGACTCAAAGTTTAGTGAGCCATCAGTCCCTATATCCATACTGGTCAACTTTGTTTCTGAGTTTTCTCCTAGTTTAGGAGATGACTCAAAGTTGGGTGAGCCACTGATTTCCATACCTATATTAGTCAAATTTGTTTTTGAGTTGGCTCCAAGTTTAGGAGGTGACCTACGGTTTACTGAGTCACTAGTCCCCATAACAATACAGCTTATCACATTCTCTAAGTTTTCTCCAAATATGGGAGGTGATTCAAAGTTGAGTAAATCACCAGTTTCCATACTCTTAAAGATAAAATCTGTTTCTGAATTTTCTCCTACATTAGACATTGACTGAAAGTTTAACAAGTCATCAATTCCTATATCCACATTGATCAAACTTCTTTCTGAGTTTTCTTCTAGATTAGAAGTGGGTTCGAAGTTTAATGAGTCATCAATCCCCATACCCATATTGATTAAACTTGATTCTGAATTTTCTTCTTCTTTGGGGGTTGACTCAAAGTTCAATGAGCTACAAGTACCCACTCCATTATCAGTCAACAATGTCTCTGAATCTGCTTTAGGTATGGGATTTGGCTCAGGCTTTGGTGATTTCAACATAGTTTCTAAGTTTTTTTCTACTTTGGGCACTGACTCAAAGTTTATTGGGCTACCAGTCCTCAAACCAACATTGACCAACTTTGTTTCTGAGTCTTTTTCTAATTGAGGATTTGACGCAAAGATTACTGAGCCACCAGTCCCAAAACTCACATTGATCAACTCTGTTTCTTCTACTTTTGGAAATAATTTAAAATTTGATAAGCCATCAGTTCCTACACCAACACTGATTAGCATTGGTTCTGAATTTTCTCCTTGGTGGAGAACTGACTCCAAATTTAGTGAGCTACCAGTTCCCATTTTACTATCGGTCTCTGAGTCTGCTTTAAGTAGGGGATTTGGCTCAGGTTTTGGTGATTTCAACATAGTTTCTAAGTTTTTTTCTACTTTGGGCATGGACTCAAAGTTTATTGAGCTACCAGTCCCTAAATTCATACCAATCAACTCTGTTTCCTCTACTTTTGGAGATAACTTAAAGTTTGGAAAACCATCAGTTCCTACACCCACACTGATTAACCTGGGTTCTGAACTTTCTCCTTGTTTGAGAATGGATTCAAAATTTAGTGTACTACCAGTTCCAGTTCTAATATGAGTACACAATGTTCCTGGGTCTGCTCGAGGTATGGGACTTGGCTCGGGTTTTGGCGATTTCAACATAGTTTCTAAGTTTTTTTCTATTTTGGGTACTAACTCAAAGTTTACTGGGCTACCAGTCCTCAAACCCACACTAACTAACTTTGTTTCTGAGTCTTTTTCTAACTGGGAATTTGACTCAAAGACTACTGAGCCACCAGTCCCCAAATTCACACCGATCAACTCTGTTTCCTCTACTTTTGGAGATAACTTAAAGTTTGGTAAGCCATCAGTTCCTACACCCATACTGATTAACCTTGGCTCTGCACTTTCTCCTTTGCAGAGAACTGACTCCAAGTTTAGTGAGCTATCAGTCTCCATTCCAATTTCAGTCAACAATGTCTCCGAGTCTGCTCTAGGTATGGGACTTGGCTCAGGTTTTGGGGATTTCAACATAGTTTCTAAGATTTTTTCTACTTTGGGCATTGACTCAAAGTTGACTGAGTTATCAGTCCCCAAATTCATACCGAATAACTCACTTTCTTCTATTTTTGGAGATAACTTAAAGTTTGGTAAGTCATCAGTTCCTACACCCACACTGATTAACCTTGGTTCTGCATTTTCTCCTTGGTTAAGAACTGACTCAAAATCTAGTGAGCTACTAGTCTCCATTCCAATTTCGGTCAACAATGTTTCTGATTCTGCTCTCGGCATGGGACTTTGCTCGATGTTTGGTGAGCTTCTAGTCGCCGCAATGATACAGCTGAACACAGTGTCTAAGTTTTTTCCTACTTTGGGAGTTGATTCAAAGTTTAGCGGGCTACCAGTACCCACTCCAATATCAGTCAACATTGTTTCTGAGTCTGCTCTGCGTGACTCAAGGTTTGATGAATTCAACATCATTTCTAAATTTTTTCCTACTTTGGGCATTGACTCAAAGTTTACTGAACTACCAGTCCTCAAATTCATATTGACCAACTTTGTGTCTGAGTCTTCTTCTAATTTGGGATTTGACTCCAAGATTACTGAGTTACTACTTCCAAAACCCATACTGATCAACTTTATTTCTGAGTTTTCTCCTAATTTAGGAGCCATTTCAAAGTTAGGTGAGCTATCAGTCCCCAAATTCATATTGATCAACTTTGTTTCTGAGTTTTCTCCTAGTTTGGGAGTGGACTCAAAGTTTGGTGAGCCACCAGTCCCCAAATCTACACTGATTAACTTTACTTCCGAGTTTTCCCCTACTTTAGGAGCTGACTCAAAGTTTCGTGAGCCATCACTTCCCATACCCGAATGTTCTCCAAGTTTGGGAGCTGAATCAAAGTTTAGTGAGCTACTTGTCCCCACACTCATAATTACCAACCTTCTTTCTGAGTTTTCTTCCAGTTTGGCAGTGGTCTCAAAGTTTAGTGAGCTATCAATTCCTTTAGCCATACTGTCTAACCTTGATTCTGAATTTTCTCCTTGTTTGGGAATTGACTCAAAATTTAATGAGCTACCAGTGTTCACTCCAACACTGGTCAAAAATGCTTCCAAGTTTGTTCTAGGTATGGGACTTAGCTCTGTATCTGGTGAGCTCCTAGTCGCTGTAACAATGTGGCTCAACCTAGTTTCTAAGTTTCTTCCTACTTCAGGAGTTGACTCAAAGTTTACTGAGCTACCAGCCCCCAAATCCATACCAATCAACTTTGTTTCTGAGTTTTCTCTTAATTTGGGATTTGACTCAAAGTCTACTGAGCCAGTAGTTCCCAAATCCATACTGATTAACTCTGTTTCTGAGCTTTCCTCTACTTTGGGAGCCAACTCAAAGTTTGAGCCACCAATTCCTACACCTACATCAATTAAATTTGTTTCTGAATTTTCTCCTAACTTGGGAGTTGAATCAACGTTTAGTGGACCACTACTCCCCAGACCCATAGTAACCAATCTTCTTTGTGAGTTTTCTCCCAGTCTATGGGTTGATTCAAAATTAAGTGAGCTATCAGTTCCTACTCCAACATCAGTCAACGACGTTTCTGAGTCTGTTCTAGGTATGGGAGTTGCCTCAAGATTTGGTGAACTCCTAGTCGCTATAACAATACAACCCGACACAGTTCCTAAGTTTTTTACTACTTTGGGAGCTGACTCCAAGTTTACTGAGCTACCAGCCCCCAAACTCATACTCATCAACTTTGTATCTGGATTTTCTCCTACTTTGGGAGTTGACTCAAAATCTGGTAAGCTACCACACCCTATACCCACATTGATTAACCTTGTTTTTGAATTTTCTCCTAATCTGGGAGGTGAATCAACATTTAGTGGGCCACCAGTCCCCACACCTGTAACTACAAACCTTCTTTGTGAGCTTTCTCCCAGTTTAGGAGTTGACTCAAAGTTTACTGATCTACCAGTACCCAAACTCATGCTAATCAACTTTGTTTCTGAATTTTCTCCCACTCTGGGAGTTGACTTAACTGAGCCATTAGTTCCCATACTCATATCAATAAACCTTGTTTCTGAATTTTCTCCTTGGTTGGGAGCTGGTTCAACAGTTAGTGGGCCACTAGTTCCCACACTAGTAACAATGAACTTTCTTTCTGAGTTTTCTTCTTGTTTGGGAAGGGATTCAAAATTTAATGAGCTACCAGTCCCCAAACCCACACTAGTCAATACCAACTTTGAGTCTGTTCTGGGTATGGGAGCTGATTCAAAGTTTGAGGAGTGACAGGTTCCCAGGACAATAGAACTCACACTAGTTTCTAAATTTTTTCCTACTTTGGGAGTTGACTCAAAGTTGAATGAGCCACCAGTCCCCATACCCTTACCTACGAACTTTGTTTCTGACAAACTCTGTTTCTCACAAACTTTTTCTGGTAATTTGATATTTGACTCAGAGTTTACTGAGTCATCAGTCCCCACACCAATGCTAATGAACTTTGCTTCAGAGTTTTCTCCTAGTTTGGGAGTGGACAAATAGTTTATTGAGCCACTAGTCCCCAAATCCATACTTATTAACTTTGTTTCTGAGCTTTCCCCTACTTTGGGGGCTGACTTTGGGGAACCACCAGTTCCTATACCCACACTGATTAACCGTGCTTCTGAATTTTTTCCTAGTCTGGGAGTTGATTCAAAGCTTACTGAGCCACCAGTCCCTTTAAGAGTTGACTCAAGGTTGAATGAGCCACTAGGCTGCTTACCAATGGTGGTCATCACTGTTTTTGAGTTTTGTCCTAGTTCGGGAGTGGAAGTAACCTGAAGTGAGCGACAAACTCCTATACCTGTACGGCTCACTTTTAATCCTGACCTTGCTTTTAATTTGTGGGTCAACTCAAATTTTAATGAATTACCAGTCCCTATACCAACACTGGTAAACTTTTTTCCTGAGTTTTCCTCTACTTCAGGAGCTGACTCCAACTTTAGTGAGCCACCAGCCCCAACACCAAAACTGGTAAACTTTGTTTCTGAGTTTGTTCCTAATTTGGAAGCTGATTCTAAGTTTACTGAACTACCAGTCCCCATACTAACACTGGAAAACTTTGTTCCTGAGTTTGCTCCTAGTTTGGAACTAGATGAAAAGTTAAGTGAACCACTAGTCCACATACCCATATGGATCAACTTTGTTTTTGAGTTTCCTCCTAATTTTGGGGTTGATTCCAAATTTCCTGAGCCACCAGTCTCCATATTCATACTGAACAACCGTGTTTCAGAATTTGCTCCTACATTGGGAGCTGACTCAAAGTTTAGTGAGCTACCAGTCCACATGCTCATACGGATCAGCTTTGCTTTTGAGTTTTCCCCTAATTTTGGAGTTGATTTAGAGTTTCCTGAGTAACTAGTCCCCATATCCATACCGAATATTCTTGTTTCTGGGTTTGCTCCTTGTTTGGAAGTTGACTCAAAGTTTAATGAGCCATGTGTTCCCACATCCATACGGCTAAACATTGTTTCTAAATTTCCTCTTAGCTTAGCAGTTGACTCAAAGTCTACAGAATCAAAAGTCTGCACACCCACACTGATCAATTTTGTTCCTGAATTTCCTCTGGATTCGGGAGTTGACTCAAAATTTACTGAGTGAAAAGTTCCCATATCCATACTGATCAACTTTATCTCTGAATTTTCTCCAAGTTTGGGAGTTGTCTCAAATTTTAGTGAGTGACCAATCCCCACACGACTCAATTTTGTCTCCGATTCTGCTTTTAATTTTGGGGTTGACTCAAACTTTATTAAGCCACCAGTTCCCATACCAAAACTAGAAAATTCTGCTTTTGAGTTTGTTCCTGATTTGGGAGTTGACTCAATGTGCAGAGAGCCACCATTTCGCATACACATACGGCTCAACATTGTTTCTAGATTTTCTCCCAGTCTGGATGTTGACTCTAAGTTTACTGAGTCACTTGTCCCCATCCCCACACTGATCAACTTCATTTCTGAGTTTTCTCCTGTTTTGGGAGCTGACTGAAATTTTACTGAGCGACCAGTCTGCATACTGATATGGCACAATTTTGTCTCTGACTTTGCTCCTAGTTTAGGGGTTGCCTCAAATTTTAGTGACCCACCAGTACTCATACCCATGCCTCTCAACTTTGTATCTGCGTTTTTTCCTAATTTGGGAGTTGACCGAAAGTTGAATGAATTACCAGTCCCCATACCCATACTAACAAATTCTGTTTCAGAGTTTACTCCTAATTTTGGAGCTAACTTACGGTTTAGTGAGCTACCAGCACCCATACCTACACAACTTGACATGGTTTCTAAGTTTTCTCCTACTATGCGTGAAGACTCAACATTAAGTGAGCTACCAGTCCCTAGAACCATACTGGTTAACTTCGTTTCTGAATTTGCTCCTGGTTTAGGAGTTGACTCAAAGTTTAGTGAGCTACCAGTGCCTATACCCATACTCCTCAACCCTGTTTCTGACTTTGCTCCTAGTGTGGGAGCTGCCTCAAAGTTTAGTGGGCTACTAACATCCATAACCATGCTGAACAACTCTGTTTCTGAATTTTCTCCTAGTTTGGAGGTTGACTCAGAGTTTACTGTACTACCAGTGCTCATACTTATATTGATTAACCTTGTTTCTGAGTTTTCTCCTAATGTGGGAGTTGACTCAATGTTCAGTGAGCCACCAGTTCCTATACTCACACTGTTCAACTTTGTTTTTAAGTTTTCTCCTAACTTGATAACTGACTTGGCCTTTCCAGTGCTGCTGGTGTCCATACCCAAACTGCTCAAATTTGTTTCTGATTTTTCTACCAGTCTTCGAGTTGCCTCAAAGTTTAATGAGCTACCGGTGTCCACAGGCATCCTACTCAGCTTTGTTTCTGAGCTTTGTCCTAATTTGATGACTGACTCTGCCTTTAGTGAGCCTCCAGTTCTGATATCAACACTGTCCAACTTTGTTTCTGAACTTTGTCCTGATCTGATCACTGATCTGGCTTTTAGAAAGCCACCTTCATGAAAACTGCTCACCTCTTTTTCTGAGCTACCTCCTAATCTGATGACTGACTCAAATTTTTGTGGGCCAACAATTCCCATACTGGTACCACTCGACTGTGCTTCTGAATTTGTTCCTAATTTAGGGGTTGACTCAAATTTTAGTGAGTTATCAGTCTCCATATTCACACAGGTCAGCTTTCTCTCTGAGCTTTCTCCTAATCTGATGACAGATTCATAATTTAATAAACCACTAGGCTCCATGCCCACACTGCTAATTTTTGAACTTTTTCCTAGTTTGAGAGTTGAATCAGAGTTTAATGAACCACCAGAATCCTTACTAATACTGCTCAATCTTGTTTCAGAGTTTTCTCTTAATTTGGGAGCTGACTCTAAGTTTCTTGAGAAACCACTACCCATAGAAGTACTGCTCAACTTTATTTTTGACTTCTCTCCTAGCTTAAGGGTTGACCCAAAGTTTAGTGATCCATTAGTACCCATAACAATATTGCTTAATTTTGATTTGGGGCTTTCTCCAAATCTAATGATTGACTGAAGATTTTGTGAGCCACCAGGACCCAAATTAACACTGCTTAATTTTGTTTCTGAGTTTTCCCTTAACTTGGAAGTTGCCTCAATGTTTGGTGAACCACAAATACCCATTTCTATGCTGTTCAACTTTGTTTCTGAGCTTTCTCCTAATTTGGGAGCTGACTCAAAGTCTGGTGAGCCACCAGTACTCAAACTCATACTGGTCAATTTTGTTTCTTTGTTTTCTCTTAATTTAGGAGTTACATCAGTGTTTGGTATGCCACTAACACCCACACCCATACTGCTCAACTTTGTTTCCGAACTTACTCCAAATTTAATGATTGATTCAAAGTTGGGTGAGCCAACCATACCTATACTGCTCAACTTTGCTTCTGAACTTTCTCCAAGTTTGGGGACTGATTCAATGTTTCTTGAGCCACTATTATCTATACCAGTACTGCTTAATTTTGTTTTTGAGTTTTCTCTTAATTTGGAAGTTGACTCAAAGTTTTGTGAGCCACCTGTCCCCATATGAATGCTTTTCAACTTTGTTTCTGAGCTTTCTCCATATCTGATGATTGACCTAAAGTTTCCCAAGTTATCAGTATCCATGCCCATGCTGCTCAATTTCGTTTCTGAGTTTTTTCCAAATCTGATTATTGACTTAAAATTCTGTGAGCCACCAGTACTCATACTGCTCAACTTTCTTTCTGAATTTCCTCCTAGTTTGGTGGCTGCTTCAAAGTTTAGTGGGCTACCAGTTCCCATATCAATAATGCTCATGATTGGTTTTGAGTTTTCTAATTTGGGAGTTACTTCAACATCTTTTGAGCCACCAGTATCCATACTGCTGAATTTTGTTTCTAATTTTTTTCCTAGATTGAAGCATGACTCAAAGTTAAGTGAGCCACCAGTCGCCATACCAAAACTGCCTAACTTTGCTTCTGAGTTTTCTCTTAATTGGGAGTTTGACTCAATATTTCCTGAGCCACCAGTTTCCATACCCATATGGCCCAATTTTGTTTCAGACTTCTTTCCAAATCTGATGATTGACTTAAAGTTTTTCGAGCCACCAGTACCTATGCCTATACCTCTCAACTTTGTTTCTGCATTTTCTCCCAATTTTGAGGTTGGCTCAAAGTTTAGTGAGTCACTCTTATGTTTTTCAATACCACTTAACTTTGTTTCTGAATTTTCTCCTAATTTAGGGATTAACTCAAAATTTAATGAGCCATCACTTTTTTTATCAATACTGCTTTCTGAGCCTTTTCCAAATCTGATGATTGATCTAAACTTCTGTAAGTCACCAATACTTATACCTACACTGCTCAATTGTGTCTCTGGATTTTCTTCTACTTTGGGAGTTGACTCAATGTTTTGTGAGCCACTGGTATGCATACCAACATTGCTCAATTTTGTTTTTGAGATTCCTCCTAGTATGGGAGTTGAGTGAAGATTTAGTGACCCACCACTATCCAAACCAATATTGCTTAAATTAATTTCGGGGTTTTCTTCTATTTGGGGAGTTGCCTCAAAATTTAGTGAGCCACTGGGTCTCATACCAACAATGCTCAACTTTGGTTCTGAATTCTTTCCAAATTTGATGACTGACTTAAAATTTTGTGACTCTTCAATATTTATACCCATATTGGTCAACTTTGTTTCTGAGTTTTTTCTTGGTTTTGGGGTTGCCTCAATGTTAAGTGAGCTACCAGTAGTTAGACTAGTATTACCTAACTCTGTTTTAGAATTTTCTCCTACTTTGGGGGTTGAATCAAGGTTTAGTGAGCCACTAGTACCCATACTAATATTTCTCAATTTTTTGTGTGATTTTTTTCCTAATTTGGGAGTTAAATCAATATTTAGTAAACCACCAGTTCCCATACCACTATTGCTCACCTTTTTTTTGGATTTTTCTTTTAATATACGGGTTGAATCGAGGTTTAATGAGCCACCAGTTTCAACACCAATACTGCTCAACTTTGTGTCTGAGTTTTTTCCAAATCTGATGATAGACTTAAAGTTTTGTGAGCCACCAGTACCCATACCCACACTGCTCAATTTTGTTTCTGTATTTTCACCTACTTTGGGGACTGAATCAAATTTTAGCGAGCCACCAGTACCCATAGGTTTCCTGAGTTGAAAGTCAGCCTCCCAAGTTTTACCCTGAGATTGTAAACCATCTCGCTGCAAAAATGATTTACCTGAGGTCATATCGAAAGAGTTCCCTTGTCCAACTTTAGGGCTCTGACGTAAAACTGAAGAGGTTCCTAACTGGAGTGATGACTCAAAAGAGTTAGAACATTTGTCGAACTGTATATCGTTATTGCACGTATCCTTCCTGTTTGGGGTACATTTGATTACTGAAACTGATTGAGTTTCTGGGGATGATAAACTGGCATTCTCAGTCACAACTGGACTAACAGCAGGATCTTGAGGTAAAGAATTAACAGAACTGGAAAGCTCTGTAATCACTGGTGTAAATTGGATTTTATGGCTACTATTTGTAGTTTGAATGTTTTCTTCAGGAATTTGCATGTTATTATCAATGCACATGGTCTCCTCCTGAGAGTCTTCCATAGGCAGCTGCTCTTCATTCGTTCTTGTTTGGATAACTGTATGTCGAAGAGAAACCTCCCCCATATCCTTCTGGGATTTACATGAAGAACATGAATCTTCAATGGATTTCAAGTCCTTCATAGACGAATCTTCTCCATCACCAAGAGTTTCCATCTCAGCCCCCTTTTCTGGAACCTGATCAATATCCAATTGAGCCTCCTTGGGAGGTGATGGACGGCTGAGAAGTGGTATGTCATCATAAGTTGGTCTAAAATATGGGGGAAAAAATTTTTCATTATATGTGTGTGTATATATATATATATATGTATGTATATTCTATAGTACACTTAAAATTTTAAATAAAAGATATTCAAGAACTTCAGAAATGAAGACTCCTATGTAGGAAGGACAAATCAAGAGGTGACTGAATCAGTCTCTGTGCTATTGGGAGCTGGGAAATAATTCAGGGAACCTGTTAAGAGGAGAAAGAAACAGTTTCTCCAGATGGTGCTTAAAAAAAAACCAAAACCCTAAGGCTCTTACCCAGTTCAACAACATTCAATTCAACAAAATCATTAAGCATTTGCTATGTGACTTGCTAGTCACTATAACTACACAGCAAGAGCAAAGAAGGCACTTACTATCCAAATAATTGGATATAAAGTGGAAAGAATATGATCAAGATAACAACTACTATAATATAATTTCCATCAATTTCAAAGGTATTTTCAGGATTATCAGTAATAGTTTGATACTATAATTAGAAAATCAGAAAAATTTAAGTACTAAAAATAGTTTTATTTCTAGACACAGGAAAAAAAATTATTATCCACAGGAGAATCGTGTATGTTATTGGACTGTTATGTTAACTTTTTAGGACATTTTGGTACTATGTAATGAAGTTAGACTGAAACTTTTCCCAGCAATGAATCTGGGGTTAGAGAGCTTAGATTTAAATCCCAGTGGGGCTACTGTGTGATCTTGGAAAAGTCATGATTTCTCCAGGTCTCAATTTCCTGATCTGTAAAATGAAATAGACCAAATAACATCAATTGCTATGAATCTATAATCAAATGAATCTTTTATGTGTAGTGCTTTGCAAACCTCAAAGCATAATGTTAACTATTGATATTATTACTTTTTTGGAGCTAGCCAGCTCAGAACACAGCAGGAAGGGATGAGAAGAGAGTTTGGCCACACACCTCAGTACAAATAGATGTGGCAGGCAAGTTAATGACTACTTTATTCAATCAATGGTTCAAGTGGCTGTGACTCTGCAGATCTGCAGAACTCAGTCATGATTCCTGTCCATCCCCCAAATCTGATTAACTCTTCTAGTACTACTGGATTTACCCAGCTACTTTCACCAGTCTCTAATCTGCTAAGAGAAATCCTGTGCTCAAACAACCATGGTTACTTAAAGCACCAGGATGCCTTACTTCCTAACCCTTGCAACCTCCACTCCTCATTTACAGTACAAACTTTAGGCAGTTGCAGCCATTTCTATAGTCTTACAGCTTCTGGGCCTTGGGGAAGGTTAAATCTGCCTCCTCTGAGGGACTAAAACATCACAAAACTCTTCCCTTTTTAAATTACATGGTATGTAAGGACCTATATCATAAGATAATATTTTTATTTGCTATATATTCATGTATCCTTCTAAGTACCATGTGGACATTCAACTTGATTATGTGACAGAACTGATTTAGCAATTTAACTTACCTGAAATATGTCAATATTACCAAAGAGAAGAGGAAATAATTATATTGAACTGCTCATTACCATCAGATTAAAATTTCAGAGATCATAATTAATCTACAACCTTGGGGTATTTTTCTGTTTTGTGAGAATTTTTTAAAAAGTTATAAAACCATAGATATTGCTAAAGTAAAGGATCCAAAGTAAATGTCACAAGAATATGTTAAGAATTTGAGCCAACTAGAGTCAACTCTGCCTTTAATATGAGTATCAGAAAATTAGCAAGATTAGTAACTACCTTTTTTTATTATGGTAATTATTCTCCACCCCCAAGGAGAACTACAGAACTGAAAAAGGTTTAAATTGCAACATGAGGTACTTAGGTGAGACATGAAGAATAATTACCCAACAGTGAGGGCTATTACACATTGGAATGTTATGTGATCATCCACTCTGCATCTTTAAAAAAATATATATATATATATTCTCTTATGTTTACAAAATGTTTTGTCAAATATCCTACCTGAAAAACAGAATGTGAGGGAAAGGTAGTTCTAGACCATATAACCATTAAGTACTATGTAAATTACTATAATAGAAAAAAGGTTACTATTACCAACAGAATACAAGTATATAATTTTATAAATGGATCATTGGATAATAGGTTTACAACCAGAAAGAACCTTAGAAGGCCTCAACTCAAATCCCTTCATTTTACACATAAGGAAATTGAGGCATAGGTAATTTAGGTAACTTCCTCAATGTCACACAGGAATTCTGAGTAGCAGAACTGGGATTAATCCCAAATCTAGCACTCTTTTCACTACCCCCTGGGTTCTTATGTCCTGAATTAAACTGTATTCTATAACAGGTAATAGTTTTAATCTGAAATTTCCTAACTTTCTGGTAACTTTAGTTAGTAAAAAGTAATTCAAATTACTTTTTGACTATACCTTCTAAATAGAGAATTTCAGTAAAATCTGAGTAAAGGAGTAAGGGTTTCCTTTTAAATCTGCTTCAACAAATATTCTAATACTATTTCCAGAACAAGAACCATTGCTGACGCCAAGAATCTCAATCACTACAATTAATAGAGATCTGAATTACCAGGCAGTTAAGGGAGTACTCTCTGATGAGTTATTTTGGGAAGAATAGTAGCTGAAGAGAGACTCTAATCCTTTGTGGGCTAGTTTCCCTGAATTCTAATGGTAGTACTTTGCTGCTGAGAAGCTTTAATGTAATACTGTAGTTTTGTAGCCACAATTAATTATGGTCATCATAACAAAAAGCACTGTAGAGAAAACACTTTCCCTCAGAAATTTAAATAACATTCATCTTTAAAAAAAATTTGTGTTCATCTGTAAAAATGTGTATATTACATCTATATATAGATATGTATTCAAATATGACTATATATAGATAAGTATCTATGTGTGTCTCCCTATCTCTCTACATATGCAATATGTACACATGCATGCACTGGATACATATCTGCCTGTCTATGTATATAATCCCTGGCCATCTTCTCACCATCCACTTTACCAATATGGATGCCCTTCAATAGCCCAATCACTCTGTCCAGTACTCAAATTATAATGAAATCACTACTGCAATTGCTATCAGAAAAAGTGAATTGATATACTTTTCTACAGGTTACTTATCATCCCCACAACTTTCCAAACCAAAATACCTCCCCATGATGATCACTCATCGATATGTTTTGTCTTCCCTATTAGTATGTAAGCTCCTTGAGGGCAGAGACTGTCCTCAATTTTGTATCTGTATCCCCAGAGTACAATGTTTGACATATAGTAAGAACTTAAAATATTCTTTTTCATTTGTTCACTCATTCATTCATATATTCATGCACACATGCATTCATACATACATAAAAGCATGTAAACAATATGTACATTAACATTCTAATTAAGTAAAAAATCAAAATATCTGAACATATTGGTAAGTCACTCTCTTTAAAAGTTATATAATTCCTCTAAGCATCAGTGCTCATTTAGCCATATTATTTCAAAAACCTAGTATGTCAAAATAGCCTTCTTGATAAATATCCCTCAGTTTTCATTGGCAGGATTGTGCTTAAAAACTAACCCTCATAGATAAACAAAGTGATAATGAAACATTCACAATATACTGATGAGTGTAAAACACTGTTTATTTTTACTCATTGTAAACTAATTACAAAATCATTATATAAAAGTGGGATTATTTTATCCATAAAACATTTTATTCTTAAAGTGTATTTTAATCTTGAAATTGATGACAATTGTCTAGAGGCATATGCATACATGCCTTTGTGAATGTCATCTACAATTAATCTAACTTTAATTACTCCCACTACCTTTCCTATCTTATGAAAAGTATGTCATTTTCATTAACATTAGACTGCATTTTGGCAAGCAAAAAGTTGACCTTTATACAAAATACCTTTATTAAAATATTATGCTGTATTTTTAAAAATTAAATTATTGATATCTTCATTTATAACAAAATAAACTTTAGTATAGTTATTACTAATCCTGGCTAATTCCCAAGAACATCCTTATTTATAGTTTCAATATTAACCCTGGGTCCCACAGAGCATGATTAGAAGAGAAAAGAATCATAAAAATAAATCAAATAGGATAGTATAGCTTTATAAATGATTGGGCATGAGTGATTTAGTACTTTGACTGAAGTGCTCTGTGTTTATGTATGTATGTATGTATGTAAAGCATGTAACATAACAGCTAAAATTTATGATAATTTTGACTTGCACTGCTATTCTATTCTATCTTATCTCAAAGTTAATGTCCATAAAATAAGTGTTATTATTGGTATAACTTCAGCTTTAATATGATAAAAGTAAAGGCAACCCATCTTTTCTAATACTATAAAGAATGCATCAGTTTTAATTGTTTATTATCTAAAAACAATACTTGTTCTACCCAGCTTTACATTTTTATCATCTTGCTGTTTTTGTAGAAACATTCATTTTCTTTCCTTCCTTCTAATCCACTATGCCACCTAGAGGTAGTCAGGTGGCTCAGTGGTTACAGCATTGAGCCTAAAGTCAGGAACTGAGGTCAAATCTGACCTCAGACAATTATTAGCTGCATGACTCCTGGCTAGTCACTTAACCTCTATCTGCTTTAGTTTCCCCAACTATAAAATGGTGATAATAATAGCACCAACCTCCAGGGTTGTTTTGAGGAGCAACATGTATTTGTAAAGCCCTTAGGATAGGGCCTGGCACATAGTAGGTGCTTAATAAATACTTGATCCCTTCCCTTTTCTCTCACTTCTGCCCCTCATAATTTAACAGAAAAAAAAGAAAAAGAAAATCCTTTCAACAAATATAGATAATTAAGCAAAATAAATTCCTGCATTTCTATACCAAAAAATTTGTATCTCATTTTGCTCAAAATACACCCATCACCTCTCTGTCAGGAGATCAAAATTTTCTGTCATGTTTAGTCCTCTGGAATCATAAATTTGTCATTGCACTAACCAGAATTCTAGAGTTTTTCAAAGCTGTTTTTCTTTATACTGTTGCCATTGTATAGATTGTTCCTA